ATTTCTATTGAATATATATATACATTATTTATTTGTAGAGTATTTTAGATGAATTAAGGAAATAATAAAAACCTTATATTTAATTTGATTTTGTTGTGATGTTGATGGATGTAATGGTTGTAAATGATATTCTGATGTTGTACTACTTCCACCTAATGGTGAAACAGTCATTGGTGATGAACATGATGTTGATGATGTAAATGTTGTTGATGATAAATCATATGAACGATAATGATAATGATGAGTTTTATTTAAAAAATTTGTTTTTAATTCTTGAATATTAAATTCAATTAATGATTGTAAAACTGTTTTAATTGATTGTAAAATTTGTATAATTAATGGCCAATTTGAATTATCTTGTTGATTATCATTTATAATTATTTGTTGATCATTATATCCAATATCAATTTGTGATAAATATTCAAAATCAGATTTTAAATGTGATAAATGTTTTGATGTATCACCAGCACGTTGTAAAACAATTAAAAATTCTTGAATTGCTTGAGAAAATGATGCTGGTGTAGATAATTTATCTATTATTGATTGCATTGATGATTTATGTTGTGTATCACCATATAATAATGATGACCATTGTTCAGGTGATATACGGAGACCTTATTACAAAAAATTTATTTATTTATTATCAATAAAACATATTATATCATTCAAATCAATACTCATTCATCTAACTTATTTTCTTTTCAGTATCTTAGGGTAAATTGTACAATGTAGAGTCAACTCTGATTTTATTTTTTCATCTAAAAGTCTTTGTTCTAATAGAAAGTTTGTATTGATTTTCTTATTTCTAAAATTATTTTCTATATCTAGAAATCTTCTTTTTATTTTGGTAGTTATTTCAAATGTAAGAATAAACTTTTCTAAAAGAAAATTTGACTGTCTATTCTATGAAATAAAAAGTGTATTTCAAATATCTGATTATTATATTATTCGAATGAATTGTTTTTTTTTTTGAATATTTAAAAATAAATAATGAAAATAACTATTGAAGTATAATAGTAATAAGATTTATCTCTTTTGAAGTTTTACACAAATTGAACATATTATGAACATAAAAAACAAAATTCTTTACCAGCTTCCATAGCAATTTGAATTATTTGTGAATCATGTTCACGACGAAGATTTTCATAATTTCGAAATTCAGATTTAAGTTGCATCAGTGACGATTCTTCTTCACGTTTTTGCACCTAAATTCAAAGTCCAAAGTTCAAATTTTTTTCAAAACAAAAAACAAATATAAAATTTACTTTAAAGCACGATGCACGATAAAGTAATTGTACAACATGACCAACACTTGTTTTACTTGCACGTGGATATTGTGGTGCTAATTTTTGTACAACAAATAAAACAAGAACTTTACGTGATAATGCTGAACCATCTTCAAGTGCTAATAATATTAATTTTAATACTTCTTCTTGCATAGCTATACAAAAAAAACAACGACAATTTTATTTATAGACATTTAAAAAAAAAAGTTTAATTATTAAAAAAAACCTGGTCCAAGAAATTGACAACCACGTGAACGAACAGCAGACCAAAGATTAGCTGTTAATTGTTGAGGATTTTGATGATGGAGAATAAAATCAATACATGTCCGTTCACCAAGACTACGTGCTGCTTTAAGAGCTTTTAAACGACCTTCACGATCAATATATTGACTATTTATTAAACTAAATATTTTACGAATCATTGGACGACTTAAAACTGATTGATATTCTTTATCATTAACTATAAATAAATAAATAAATACTATATTTGTTTTTATTGTCTATATAATTTACTTATTGGTTTAATTAAAAGAGCTATTTCAATAAGAAGTGTTTGTGTACGATTAAAATATGATTTTGTTTCATCATCAAGTTTCATATAAGCTAAACATTGACTATAACGTTGTTCATTATCATCAGGTAACTAAATAAAAAAATAAACAAGTAAACAAAAATAAAAGAAAATATTTATTTAAATTTTATTACTTTAATTGTATCATAAATAATAAATAATAATGGATAATTTGTTGGCAATTGATCAATTGGTGTATTATTTATACCAAATGAAACTTGATCTTGTGGACATTTTGTTTGATTACGTATTATATCAATACATTGTCCACACATTGTATGACCACATATTGGTAATGTTATTGGACGATGTAAATAATTATCATATTCAAAATCATGTGAACATATTGTACAACGTAAAAATTCATTATAATATGATTGTAAGGATTGACTGGATGGAGACATTTCTATTAAATCAATAAATAAATAAATAAATAAGTAAATAAATAAATAAATAAACAATATTTTGTTTTCTAGGAGATTTCTTTTTTGTCTCTTAATAATTGCAAATGAATATAAATCGTACTTATTTCGATAGATGTTTTGTTGCGTATGTGTTGTGATGATGATGTCAGGCAAACCTCTTTCTTCCCAACACTGCCTATTTAACTACCAGAGTGAAGAGACAGACAGCAGAGAGAGAGAAGAAGAGGACGGCGGCGGACGTGTGTGTGTGTGTTCACTTTCTCTCTCTTGTTTCTTCTGCTTCACGTGTATGTGATGATGCTTCTACTAGTACGCATAACACACAAAAGAGAAGTAACAACACACATACACTCGTTCGAAAACAAACAGCTGTATTGTTCTTCTTTTTTTTTTTACTAATCTAGAGAAAGAGACGGAGTCGGTTTCCTCCATCCATTACATCGGACGAGTGAAATAAACGAAAGGAGGAGGAATGATGATGGACGAACATCAATTCTTCGGATGGCAGAATCAACTACCAATCATGTATTAACGAACAGCTGATAAACAAAAACAGCTGATCTTTAACCATTTTTAGTCAATATATGTTCAATGAGTCATTAACAATAAAAAAAAAAGTCCAATTTTATATTTTTAACAATCGAAATATATTCATTTTTTCTAATAAAAAATCGAATTTATTCAATTAAAGAAAAATAAATAAACAAAAATAATGGAAAATAAATGTTTTATAAATAACAACAAATAAATATTTTTTATGACTCCAATTGTTAATTGTAATAAAATATATTCCTTTACTTACAGGGATTATTTTTTATGTAATTTCTTAATCATAAACTCTAATAGATGATTTCATATTAGCATTTTTCTTTTGGTATAAAATCCAACAAATCTTATATTACTTTCTTCAAAAAAAAAAAAATATGAAGAATCTGACGTTTGAAAAAAGAAACAAACTAGAATGTTCTTTTTATTTCCTACCGTAAAATGAATAACTGAATAAGACCAACGAAAAGCATAAAAAGAAAAAAAAAAAAATTTCTTTTAAGTGCACACAAATCAAAAGTATTGACTATGAAATAGATGTAGTATCAGTTAAAAACAAGAAATAACTATTATTGATCAATCAAATTTTTCATTCGAAGAATATCTTAAGTTTCCTTTTTTCTTTTTTTATTTTCAATATTAATTAAATTAAAGTTGATCTTAAACTGAATCACATCATATTATAAAATATTTAATGAATGTTATATATTTAAATTAACAAATATTTCTCGTACAAAAAAATAAAATACTTCATTTATTATGTGATAGGAAGCAATGTGTGTTTTTTTTTCAAGTAATTCAGAGATATTTTCAGCTCTATTTAGTATAAAAGTATATGGTATTTAACAAAATATGAATTAGTAGGATATTTGGAATGTACATAATATTTATATTTAACAAAGAGTTTTTATAATTCTTTTCACAATCTAGATCAATGAATGATGATCACATGCAGTATATATATCAAGTTCCAATAAAGAAAAACTTATTCATCGTAATCACAAGATAATAAAATATTTTGAAAAATTTATTTTACTGTTAACAATTTGCAGTATATACAAAGCTAAGATATTTTCATTGAATTTTAAGTTAGGACAATTAAGTTTACAATGTAAAAAATTCCTATTGGAAAGTTTATTCTAATAAAAAATAGTCCGCAACATATGACTCTAATAAATAAAGATAATTTTTCATGTTCTCTAGATTGGTTGAAATCAAAAGTAATATATTGATATGAATCTGTAACTTAATCCTTAACATTATAAATAGAATTTCTATTTTTAAAAATGATAAAATATATATCGAAATATGATATTAAAATATAAAATGTTTGATTTTGATTGACAACTTGTATCTCTGTTCATTATTTTTTTATAAAACAAATGAGAAGTATCTCTCATCAGATAAAGTTTTATTTTAAAAAAAAAAAGAAAAATCTTAAATGAATAAAAATTATTTTCTTTGTACTTGAGAAATTTTTTTGTTGAATATTTTATATAAAATGTAATCTGTATTTAATATAATCTATGAATAATAAAATTATTGTCAATCAAAATTTTCTTCTTATTTTATTTATTTTTTGTCTTATTCTCTCTCTTAGTTTTTGTTTTTTTTAATGCATAACAATAAACAAAGATTGAAACAAAAAAAAAAAAAGTGGAAAAACTAAAGATGAGAGAATTGTATCGATGCTTAATTGAAAATAGATATTTGTTTGAATTATTTTGATTCTTTGTTATAATATCCTTTTCCAATAAAACCATCTCTTGCAGCCAATCGTAAAAGTGAATCATCAGCTTCACCCATCATTCGAATTGAACCACAAATTGCATATGTACGATTTTTACCAGTAATACGTCCTGTATGTTCATCAACTTCAGCAAGATCCAATTGAATAGCAGCATGATCTTTAGCTGCAATTATTTTATTACTTGCAGCACATTTTCTTGGAATATATAATTCAATTTGTTCTGTTGTTGGTACTGCGTCTGTTTGTTGCATTTTTTTAATTCTTGTTTTATTTTAATAGACGATATTTATCTATCTGAAATATTCTATTGCACAAAAGAAAGTTTCGCTTTTTTTTTGTTTGAAATAAAAGAAGAAGAAAGGGAAAAAAAACAACAAGGCAAATAAAATGTTTCTTTTTTTCTAAAGTTGATATTAATATTGTTATTTCCAAAAATTGGGATTTTCAGCAATACGTCGTTGAAAATTATTATACCATGTTTGAATTACACTTAATGGAACAATTTGTTCTGCTGTTCCAGGAACATTTTGAACAAATGATGTTACATAATTAACAAAATTATTTAGCATTTTTGATACAAATTCAACGTTTGATGCAACTGTTGATGGAGCTATATCATATGGTTGAATTTGTTGTTCAAGTTGAGTTAAAGGTTCAACACTTATACCTAATAAACCATCCGTTGGAATGGCTGTTTGATGTTGAAATCCACTGAATAAACTTGGCACTAATGATAAACTTGTTTTAGAGTCAACGTCTGAAAAACAAAAAAGAAAGAAGATTGTTTATTTTTTAGAGATTTTCTAGAAAAAAAAAAAATAAATAAATGACAATCGACCTTTAATTTTATTAATTTTAAAAATTGCACTTGGCTTTGCATTCGTTATTTTTCCAAGATAAATCCATGATGGTCCTTCTGTACTTGGCCAACTAAAGTAAACTAAAAATAGAGAAATATTTGAGAAAAAAAGTCGAAATTGAATAAATATTACATAATACTTGCCACCACCACCAAAATTTTCAGGAAATGGTATTTGACCAGTCATGAAAACAACAAGATGATTAACATGATCAACATCTGATATTGGAATAACAAATTGTGTTTCGCTTACTTGTTGAAAATTCATTTGTGGCTATGAAAAAAATTATTTTTAATTATTAATTTGTTTGAAAAAGACTTACTAATCGACCAGCAATAAGTATTGAAAACATGTTTTTTTTAAAATCCTGTTTCTTTTTTACAAGTTAGAATTTATCTGCAATATATATATATATTCATAGTTTGATACAGATATATTTAAAATAAACAAACGAGAGTATATTCAAAAAAAAGAAAAGAAAAACAACAAAAAATTAAATTTTAAGAGCTCCGCGTTTTTCTAAATGCTTTAGACGTTTAATAAGACAATGTTTCATTGATGTTGGTAGTTGTTTTAAAAATTTTAATTCCATTTTTAATTCATCTTGTTTTGTTCGATTTGTCATATTATCATTATTGATATCATTATGAACCATCATATGTTCTGCTCCACCACGTCGCATAGCTAAACCTTTAGTATGTAAATCTTCAATTAATTCATTTGTTGTTGGCATATTTTGTGTTAAAGTTAATTGTGTTATTGGATGATTTGAATCATTATCAAAACGAGATTTTCCATATAATGGACATATTTTATCCGTATTAACATGACCCCATTTTTTACATTTTATACAACGTACCTAAACAAAAAAATATCAATTGTTTAGATTATTGAAGAAAAATTTTTATAGATGATTAAGATTTTTTTTGCGAGAATGAATATCTTATAGAGTTATCTTTTCATTTTGATTTATTTCTATGGAAAAATGTTCTCTGAAAAAGATGTATTGTTTGATTTATGAGAGAAAAAAAGTCTTCAAGTGAGAGTTTGTAGAATTCAATAAGCGAGCTATTATATAGAAAATTTTTTTAAATATTAGTTTAGTTTTTACCAATAAAAACTTCAAGTTTTATCAGATTTCTCGTTTTTTTTTTTAATAGTCTCCACATTCTATTTAGTTATGTTCTCATGTGTTTATGTCAAAAATTACAATAGATAAGGCAAATTATTCAAATATCGTCGACATGAATTTTGAGATATATTCAATTTTTTGAAAAAGGAATTTAGCCAAAATTTCTGAAATTCGCCATCTACTTGATAACTACATAGCAGTGAAGATCAAAACTTTTTAGAAATATTGGAGGTATGTTCAAATTTCCAGAAAAGGAGATTACCCATATTTTTGAAATTTTCATCAGCTCGATTACTATTTAGCAGTGCAAACTAAAAGTTTTTAGACATACTGAAAATTAATATTATAAAACATATTAAACAAACGAGAAATGTATTTCCAACCTATGAAACATTATTTGAGTTCATAAGAAAGAAGTTATTTTTCTTTTATAATGAACATCTTCAAAATTTTCATTTTCAAAAACATTTAACAATTTTTCTTTAATTAGGCATTCTCGTATAGTGAATAGAAAGAAGAAAAATGAGGCAATAATTTTTATCTCTTTGTTTAATGAATATCGTATATATAATATAGAAATCCAATAATAGGACAACTATAATCAGAAGTTTTATCAATATTTTTTAACTTTATAATAACTATCTAACAGGTAAAATATGTGTTATTTTGAAATGTAATTTCAATGAAAAAAGTTTCATTTACAAAATATTTTAGATGAGAAAAGTGAGACTTACATTTCTAACTTCAATACCAAAAGGTTGATCTCGAATTTTTTCATCATTTTTTGCCCATGATTCTCTTGGTGCATTATATTTTCTTTGCCATTCAAATTTTGGTTCATCTTTCTTAATAATTAATGTACCATCAGCACGTCGAAGTTCTTGATCTTGATGTTGTGGTTCTTCTTGTTTAGCCATTCCAGCTGGTGGATTATACATAAAAGAAAGACCAAGACGTGCTTTTTCATCACCCATTAATTGTTTATTTGAAAATAATTCTTGTTCACGTTCATATTGTTCACGTAATTCTTGTTGTCGTCGTTTTTCATTAGCAGATTTTTGTTCAGCCATATATTGACGTTTCATATTTCCAATATTGGTTGGATGAAACCATTTTTTTGACATATAATTTTCATAACCCTAATTAAAGATTAAAATTCATATAAATATATATATAAAATAATCATAATTAAAATAAAATTCTTACCTTTCCCATGTTTGCTGTTTTTCAAAAATTTCAATAATATCAACTAACTTTGATTACAAAAATGAACTGATGAAATAACTAAAAAAAAAGAATCCATTGAATCCATATTTTACCAATTGTTGTTTGTCTTTTGATTTGACGTCATTTTTTATTAAGAAATTTATTAAAAAAAAAAAAAATTCTTTTTACAAATAAAAAATATTTTATAAATCAGAATAAATAAAAAAGAAAATTTTGTTTTTTTTACATATAACATCTGATAAGTATTCGATTTCCATGGAAATGTTTGCGTGTATTCATGATTAATGGCAATAATCTTGTCAAATACAAAAACAAAGTATTTATTTTTTCTCATAAATATAAGAAGTATAATTATGAATGAGTCATTTAAATTTTGTTTTTTCAGATAAACTATAAGACAAAAATTGAATTATAATCATGAGTAATTCACCAAATGGAAGTACACATTCATCATCAGGCCGTGAAAATCCTACCGGATATTCAAGTTCAACACAAATGAAACGTCGAAATAGTAGAGAAAGTCCAATGGCTTTTTATGAAATACCATCATGGGTAGAAAATGTACCATCGAAAATAATTAATAATGCTAAACAATCACTGAGAGATATGCCAACATCACGTCCTTATACACCACGTGATGATTCAAGATATATATTAACTAAACTTAATCATGATCCAACTTCATTTAGGTAAGTTATTAAACATTATTCGAAAGAAAAGAAAAAGAATAAACAAATTTTTATTTTTATTTTTATTTTTTAGTGGAACATCAGTTGATTATGAAACTGAATCACGACCAACATCTAGTAAAGTAAGATATTTTATTTTCAAAAATAATATAAATATTAATAGATAATTAATTATTTAGACGGCAGACATTAATCGACGAAATTCAAAAGGTAACATAATGAATATTTTCATTATTATAAAAAAAAATCTATGAAAATAGGTTCAATCACAGGAATATCTGATAGTTCTCCTTTCGTCGCAGCACCACCACCACCAGCAAGGTATATTAGTCTTATTTAAAGATTATTAGATAACACTGGTATGTTCTCAACTTTGAGTTTTGTTTTTTCGGTTACCTTAAATCAAAATTATGTTGAATAAAATTTCGTCCTTAAAAATCATAATCATTTTCTTATTTTCACAATATATTTGATAGACGTCAATAATGTTAAATATATATAATTATAATTTTAAACTAATTAGACTTACAAAACTTATTCATCAAACAACTCAAGATCAAGTACGTTCAGGTGACAGTAGTATTTCAAATCAGACAAAACCTCCATTACCATCCAATCATCAACGATCAAATGTTTCATTAACTGCATCAACAACAACTACTAAAACATCACATCATCGAAATAGTTAGTTTGAATTCGTTTTTTTGTTTAGTATAGAAAAAAAAACAAAACATGTTTCATTTTTTCAAAATGAAATCTAGGTTCATCATCAACAAAAGATGATTCATCGGAAGACAATCTTATTTGGAAACATGAAATTGGTCCATTAATTGAAACACTTATAAGTGCTTATCAAAGTATTTTATATCGTTTTTATAATTAAAAAAAGAAAAGTTGAGAAAAATTTTTGTTATAGAAAATCATATTGAACAATTTGATCAAACAAGTAATGATCTTTATCATAGTTTATTAAAACATAATTTATTTGGAAAAAAAAGTAATAAAAAACGTGGAGAATTACTTAAAACATTATTTGGATTTATTGAATCTGAAAATTCAATTGTACGATTTCATGTTGCTCGTTTAAGTCTTGCGGTTAGTTTAATTTAATAAATATTAAAAATGAAATAAATAAATTTTTTGTTTTTTGTTCTAGTTTCATATAAGTAGTTCAAATAATTTACGACATGTAGTTCGTTTAACAGCTGATTTAACTTCAAATAAAACTAATGATCATTTTTTTTTAAATACAAATATTCTTGGTAAAATTTTATATAGTTTTTTTTTTATTTTGAAAAATTTTCAATATTAAATTTAATTTAGATCTTCTTTTTGAAACAATATCGCGCGTTGATGTTGAACAAAATCTTGAATCAATTGCTTATTTTTGTACAACATTACAAAATTTAACCGTTAATAATGAACTTATTTGTTTAATTTCGGAGAAAAGACCATTTGAATTAATAAAAAATATTTTAAAACATCTTCTTCAAGTAAATAAATTTTGTTTGAAATTCTTTTTTTTTTGTTTTTATTAAATAGTCAAAATTTGTTTGATTTTAGTTAAAAGATCAAACACAACTTCTTAGTAAATTATGTGATTGTTTAGTACCAGTATGTTTTCGTATTTGTTTTATTAAACAAAAAAAAAAAACAAAAGTTTGATTTTATTTAGTTGACAAGTACATTGAGAAATTTAGCTGACAATGATCTTAATCGTCGAGAATTTTTATCCGATGATCTTATTAATTATTTAACGTTTATATTAAAATATTTCACCGATAAATCTCATGAAGATTTAATGAAAAATGTCGCACGATTATTCAGGTAAATTTTGACTTCTGATTTTTGTTAACTAATCTTAGAAAAACTTTTAATCATTTAGTAAATTGACTCAACATAATGATTGTTGTATGAAACTTGTGCAATGTTCATCATGCTATCGTTCATTTCTTAAAATACTTATTAAACATGAAAGTAATCAGGTATGAAGACAAAAGAAAAAAACTCTTATTTTCAACATAATATTGATGTTTGTCACATCAGTCATTCTTTAATATATATTAGACAGATATATATTTAAATATTCAAAACTAATCTAGATTTTCATTTCTTATTTTTCGTCTTTATCATTTGAAAATCGTCCTGCTTCTCTTAGAAAGTTATTAATATAAGTTAGATAAGTAAATGTAACAGTTTCTGCGAAGTTTATTCTTAGAGGTGATCTATAAAGACTGTCTCAGAACATGGAGGAGGAGTAGGTCGGAAACAAAATCGAACAGCGCAACGAGAGAAATCACACGACTCTGAACGTTCGAGCACGAGTAGTGTCACGTATCCAAGATTTTGGAGATACCACCACATCTCCCGTGGGAGATGCCGCGTCTCCAGCGGGAGACACGACACCCACACTCGAGAGATATGGTCATTCACCACTGGAGATGTAAGATCTTTAGATATGCGCATCTCCCACACCCACACTCGCATCTCTCGCGGGAGACGTGGTGGCATCTCCAAAATCTTAGATATGTGACACTGCTGAGTGAAAGAGAGAAAAAGAAATTTTGCTTGAAATGCAAAAATAAATAAGATAGATCAAGTTTCTGGGGATCGATTATTTTAGAGAATAACTCTAATCGGCGAGAGCGTCATTTAACATATTTTCCATTAGTATAATGAGACTAAAGAGTACATGTGAACTTCAGATTTTAGCTCAAACTGGATTGAACCGGTTTTGAGCAACATTTTGAATATAAGAACAATTTAGAATTCTATGATCGCACATCATCTAGGAATAAATCATCGAATACGAAAAAATAATAATATATTTAAGCAAATAGGCACTTTCGAACAAAAATTTTAGAAATTAGACGCCCAAGCGGAGAGACGAGAGTCAATCTAAATCAGACGTAGATGTGATTAACAAGAGCAATTTTTACATGGATGTCCTTTTATGGATAATCTGTTACATCAGTTATATCCCACTATTTGTGCAATACAATATTTGTTTGTCTTATTTGTATTGATTCGTTTTGCTTGAACGACAAAGAAAATGTTCGTTGATATATGAAAAGTGACAAATTTCGTTCTACCTAACTTGAAAACATATGCAATTCTCAGAATTCACAAACTAAGATTAGATGTCAAATATTTACGTGAGATAAAATGTCTATAGATAAGATTTTATCAGCAAGAACCCTAAAGTTGATTTTCTTTATTCTACGAATAAACAATTATGAATCATTTTTTAAGTGTTCGAATATTTTTCGTGACTATCTGTATTTGTACTTGTGCAATTACAAATAACGTTAGATTGATTTTAAATCGGAGATAGATAGCATAGCTAAGCTGACACATATTCCACAAAAAAAAAAAGAAATTTCTGAATTCTATCAATTTGTTTATTTATATTCAAGGCATTAGTTGTTCGTATCTGTTTTATTCTTGGTAATATGATGGCTAAAAGTGAAGATGCTCGTTCAACATTTATGAAAGATTCACATGCATTACAAACATTAACAAAACTTCTTCATTCATATATTCAATTGGATTCTCTTGTAAATTTTTTATTTTCTAATTCAATATATAATTAATTCTAAATATTTAATAGGTATTAAAACCTGATAAAATTGATAATAATGATTCTATAAGTCAAGATGTTGATGTTGTTGATGATTCGAATACAAATCAATTTCGTTCGATTGAAAATGTTATTAATAAAGTTATACGTGTATTAAGTAATTTAGCTATTTCAGAAGAAAATGGTTTAATTATTATTCGACGTGATGATTGTATTGATCTTTTATTTAAACTTCTTAGTAAGATTTATTCTTTTATTTTGTTTTTGAATTAGAAAAAAAAACAAAAAAAAAACTTTCTGTTTATTTTAGAAGCACCAAATCAACATAGTGAAGAATTACTTGTACATGTTTTAATGGCATTAAATAATTTATCATATTATGATGATTCACAAAGTTATATTAATCGAAATTCTGAAACACTTGCTCAATGTAAAATAGAAATACGAGAAAATAAAAGGATTACACCGATTTCGACCTGTGTGCTTAAACTTATCTCATTGATACTTAAAAAAAAACTTATTCCTTTAGTTAGTTCTGACATGTCATAGTGCTAAACAGAATGGCATACTATGAGCCTGGATGAGAGTCAAAAAGAGTTTCACACCCACAGTATATTGATTTACTGAGCAATACGGAATGTAGGAACTAGTTAAAGGAATAAGATTTTTTTTTAATAGAGCCAATGAAATCAATTTAAGCACAATCCGAAAATTCCTTGTACCGAAATTTTTGTGTCTCAAACAACAAAGTATATGAGAAGATTTTGTTTTCTAGTATTGGTCAAATATATTCGAAATGAAGAAAGAATGGATTGTGTTGTTGAAGCATTTCGTGTACTTGGAAATTTATCAAGAACAACAAGAATTCGTGATATTTTAATGAAATGTAAAGGTTAGAAAAAGAAATACAAAAACAAAAAAAAGAAAAAAGTCTTAAATAAATTTAATATGAATTTAGTTGATCGGTTGGCAATTCATCATTGCGAATCGGATAATGTTGAATTATTATATGCTGTTATTGGAGTTTTAATTAATTTAACTGTTGATGAAGATAAAAGAGAATGTTTGAAAATTCATCATGGCATTGACAGGTTTTAATTGTATTACAAATGAAATTTTTCATGTATTTTTAATTTTTTTTTTTTTTATAGTTTGATCAATATTTTTGAATATTCAATCCAATCTGATTGGCAATTATCAAGGTAAGTTTTCATTCTAAAAAAAAAGAAGTGCTAAATATAATTAGAAAATAACGTTGTAAGGGTGTGAATGTATAGCTGTTTGGTGTAGGTATTTCCTTATTAACATCTTCATACAGAAAAGATATTGCAAAGTTTTGTTCGTTCAACATTTATCTGTGTCCAATTCTGTCCATACGACGACAACTCCAGTCACTCTTAATCTTACTTGTTCATATAAAAATATTTGTTATGTTTGAAAATAACGATTTTTGAGGTCAGCAATATTGCTGAAGGATTGAACACAATAGAGTCAAAGTTCGTGTCATTGTATGATTAAACATACTTGTATCAAATATTGATTTCATACCTGTGTACTAGCGGTACAGGATCTGTCGGTAAAACAAAAAGTTACCCCCAACTGGTGCTGAGTTCTTGAAAAAAATGTTCCCTGCTATCGAAAATAATGGAACAAATTGATTCTCTTTTTCAATTGCACATTAAAAGAGAGTGAATGAAAAATCGTTTTATTTAACACAAAAACTTTATTAATCATCTTTTATTAGAAGAAACTTTCACTCTACAAAACTAATGAATTTTATATTTAAATAAAAGAAAAAGCTGTTTCGATAATTTCTATTTATAAATAAGTTACAGAGCTGTGCACAAAGTTGATACTCTTATTTTCTATAAGAGAAACATTTCGTAATTCGAATTTTTAAATGAAAAATATTTCTAACAGCTAATTGTTAACTGAAATTTCTCTCAACATGCGTTAACGCACGCAGATAGGTTCTGTACGTTTACTTTGCATTTAACTATCAGGTCTAGACAGTTTCATGTTGAGTGGTAAAAATTATTTTGAATTCACTTCGATGATGTGAAATGAATTGTCAATAGAGGCTCAGTCATCGAATCAAGTGCCTTTTTTTTATCAAACTCAAACAAAAAAATACTTTCAAGAACATGCTTTTCTAATTAGTGACCGTCTTAGATTCCTTTTATGTGACTTCAATTACCTTCCGTTTCATTTGAAAAACTAATGTTTATGATTCTATGCGCAGCGATATATGATTTTGTTTTTTTTGTCAAAATGTCTAAAGTGTTCTGTATAGAAATTTGATAAAGTAGTAATTTATTGTTATATTAAATTAAATATTTGATTATTTTAGCCTTGTTTGTAAAGCATTATGGAACTATTGCGATAATAATTATGAAAAACTTAACAATCAATCACTTTGGTTTACTGAAGATCAACTAAAAATGTTACTTAATCTTTTTAATGAATCTCTCCGTAAGATTTTTGTTTTAAGATTAGAATATTAAAAAGAAAATTGTTCTATTTTTTTGTTTTTTTTTTATTAAAGATGAAAGCAATCTTGAGTCAACTGATGATGAATCATTAGATGAATTAAATAAACAATTATGGAATGAAGAATATTTTCCAGTAGCATCACGTTTATATCAACGTATAATTGAAGGAAATCAATATTTTAAAACAATACAAATAAATGATCATTCATAATAGTTTTTGAAATGATTTTGAATACTTTTGTTTTATGTTTTTATTCGTTTTTTTAACGAATGAGTCTTTCAATTAATATTCGCTTCATTTTTTTTTCTTCTTTCTATCACATATAAACGCACATATACTGTATTTTTGTGTTTTCACTTATCTCTTTTGTTTTCGAGAAATAATATCATTTGCTTTTTATCAATGTAAATATTTAATCAAATATTATCATATTCAATAATCGAAGATAGATACTAACGCATTTTAATTCATGTAGTTATTATACCAATTATTATAAAATTATTAAAAAAATATCAGCATTTAAAACAAGACTATCGGACTCTGTTCATTTTCGAACAGTTTGATATAATTCTATCGAACTAATATTTGCGCCAGAATCTGAGAAAGGTGAGTGTCAACTCAATCATTCGACAATGGTAACATTTAGCGATCTTTGGTTTTTAGAAATCCAAAAAGGAAAACTCAGGACGTCTTTTTGTCTAATCATTTCAAAGAGTTTTGATATAAAGGCAAAAAGTTTACTAAAATTCTGTATAATTTGATGGAGCAGATACTCGATTTTATCTATTCAGCATTGATATATGAGAAGAGAATAATCTGAATCGTTCCTTGAACTATGAATCTGAATGTTCTCTCTGTTTGAAGCCTATGTCTTTTTCAAAATTGCATCAAAACGAAACATCATTTTCATGTATTTTTTTTGAATAAGAAAAAGTTTTCTCGTTTAGTCTAATGAGTCTAGCAGCAAGTTTTAATTTAATTAGTGAATTATTACCTCTATGCTTGTCATCAAAAACTACTCAAGAAGATTTGATTAAACTTGTTTATGATCGAATGAATGATTTTGTTAATGATGAAAGTAGTGATAAATGTGCTTGTGCTATAATTAATCTTCTTAGTAAAGTTCGATCATGTTTATATGATTCATCAAATGGTAATTATTATTGTTTTATTTTTTTTTTCAATTTATTTTATTTTATTCTTTAGCTGAATGTAAATGTCAATAT